GCCTTTTGAGACAATCTAAGTTTTGTAACTTTCTTTAATTTATTTATCGATAAATTTGAAATCTCGGCTGGCAATGTATTATACATACAAATACAATTCCCCGCAAATGAATTAGATATTTTACGGAGCCTATATATTATGTAATGCCAACATCTGAAAAATATTACAGTTTTCAAATGTCAGTGAATAAATATACAGCATTGATTCGGAAAATAGTTCGTGTAAGTAAAAGTACTTGTTTTATAAAATTTTACTTTAAATTTTAATTATACACATGTTAACTTGAACATCCTGCATGAGCGATGCTGTTGTTTATATGGAATTCGAACCTCGAAGACCTCTCTAGGTAGTTTTTATTTAAACTGTTTTATAATATTGATTAATCATCTCTATGGCTCTATTCCTTCGGTTTGTGGTCTCGCCTCCCACTACCAAAGGAAGTTTCTAAAACTTAATTAGAAAAATATGAAAAATATATCATTAAATTGGTGTTTGGAATTTCGTTCGGTTTTAGACAAGACTAGATATCGGTGTTCAAAACAAAAATAGGTCGATAGCATATCTCGTTTAGATATTATATGGCCGTGGTACTTATAACGTGGTACAAATAACCTTGTATGTCTCCTCCTACAAAACATATATTAAGAATGTCATTTGAATCAATTCAAATTTCCTTACATCGAAACAGGCAAGTTGGATTAGATAATCTTTAACAATTAAGCTTTTGCTACTTTTCTTGATATCATCCATCTAAGACCAATATTGGGTCAATACAAAAAAATACGACAGAAGGCACGTCACGGGATAAGATGGATCGTGCTGGCATTCCGGTTTCTATTACGTATTCCGATAGACATTATAGTATGGATAGTAACTGGGGTTGACAGGTGGCTATTGGAAATAGGAACAGTATGTGTATATAAGATTAATAGTCCTTGCTTAAATGTAATTATAATCGTTATACTTAAAAAAACAAAGTTTAGTAACTGCAAAGATGTGAATGGAAAAACAAATGAGATTATATAAAACGCATTCTTGAATTAATCTAGGTACTTAACTACTTTGCGATTAGTATGAGATTTTATTTACGTATAGGTCACTTACCTACATATGTACACCGATATACTTTACTGATTATTAATTGCATCGGATTGAATGCAGAATAAAGTGATTTATTGTATTTGTTTTTCATATAAGGCTTGAATTAGTTTCGAATTTCATTCTCTTTTTTTTGCTACCGATGATAAACTTGAATGTTTTACAAGTTACCTAGGAATGAAAGTTATACATATTTAGATTCAAGTACGAGTACCTATTTATATTCTAACTAGTTGTAATCGCGACTTATTATTATTTATTTTTGTAAACAACGTTGTGGACAACAGCTATTATTTATTAAACTATCACCTGCTTATGACTTAACCTTAAAATATAGACATCTACTGTCGCCAAAAATTTGTAGATCATTTAAAGAAAGATCATTCTTTTACAAGTACATTTTGGTTCTGAATTGTTTCCGTTGGTTTGATTTACTCATATTTCTTTCTGTTTCCTCGCCACTACTATACTATATTATTATTACTATACTATACAACAAGATAATGTTTTATAGCCTAAAAACCTCTCGATAAATGCTTTAGCAAAAACAAATTTTCCAAATCGAGCTCGTTGTTCCTGAAATTAGCGCGTTCGAACAAAAAAGCACTTCAACTTTATGATACTAGTATAGATTAGAGTACAAATATTTTCAAACGTATTAGTTACTAATCTGGGTGTCTATGCCGATACGTAATCTACACGCTTCAGGATCACAATTGACAAATGGTCGGAATCGTATCACGCTCAGTCGGTAATGGACCTTTTGAATTTGTCTTGGCAAATGATATACTGCTAACTGGCTTCCTTACATGAATAGGCATACAGCTCTGTACGTTAAAAAGGGAGCCAAAATCCCTTTTTGAATTTCATGGGATTGAAAAGAAAGAGATTTTAAACTGCTTTGCGATTGGAAAACGAAGTTCTCTAAACTTAATCAAAACGTCCAGTCCAATTTGGTCGCAACCAATGTAAGCGCATAGTTAATCGCATTGAGTTTATCAAAATCGATTGAACCGTTTATGAGATAATAACAAAAAATAGACTGACCTACCTCTATTTTTTGTCATCATTAGCCTTATCTATATATATAGTATGTTTGTTTCTTTGAACGTGCTAATCTCAGGAAATACTAAATTGAATTGAAAAATTATTGTTATGTCGGTTAGAGCTATTATCGAGGGAGACTATAGGCTAGAAAACGTTGTGTTGTAACTAATAGGAGCGGGAAATATGAAAAAACGGATAGGTTTTTTCAAATTTTAGAGTGACCGATGCGTACACTGCGGAACGGTTCAAGATACCCAAAAATTGTGTTCAAAAGAATGATTGCTCCTTAAATTATCTAAAAACACTACATGTCTATCTTTTAAGATTAACTAGCAAGTAAGATGGGACACGACCGACGTCGCGGGTTACAGCTCAAGTTTATAAAGATGAGGAGGAAATTTGCAAAAACAAATGTTGATGCCCAAACAAATAACTATTCTACGCGGAGTCGCTGGCACAGCTTATTTCCGTATAAACGCCATTTCATGTTTACAATCCGTACTTAAGAAAAAATGGTAAGATTAGCGGCACGACTTTCTACTTTCCTTATTGTAATATAATAAAAGCACGTTCTTTTGTTGTTATATTATAATATTCAACAACGAATAGTATACTAAATAATTCACTGCGCATATACCGCGTTAGTACAACAGTGTTTTAGTAAAAGCAATCTTGAGTAAAAGCAACTGACTTAGGAGCGTTCTAAGGTCGCGGTAAATCAATAGCCGAGGATAGGGTTGCGACCCTTTCAATTATTCATGGATCCCACGCACGGTATACAATTTAAAAATAACAATTGTTTGCACTCTTGAGTGACCAGGTGTAAGTGAAACAAGTGAATAAGTTATTTACGTTTGAAACTTTAATATTTTTCACATGATAAATGAATTTTCGATTTAAAATAATATTAACATTGCTCGAGAGGTGGACGTATCAATAGGTTGAAGAAATCGACTATGACGTGTTGGACAGAGTACCATCACGGAACAATTTGGATGCCGGTTCAACGCCTGCCCGTGTCTAATGTCTAACTAAAATCGATGTTTTTAATTTTAAAAAAAGAAGTAATGTCATGGATGATGATATTTTGGATGCTTTCCAGCAACTGGAGAGAATTAAATGTGATGACTCAAATGTGAAACTAAAAGCTGTTATGCTCGCTTCATCTGATTTTAATTGTTTTTTTATTCCCGTAAAGAACCGATAAATATTGATAACATTATATGTTTTATAATTATTGTAAGCTTAATAAGAAGATATCTGCTATAATTACTAATACAATAGATATTTGTCCACGGGCTCTTTGGTGTCACGGTGGCTGGCGGTTAATAACCGACGGGTAGAACTTGTTACTAATCAATTTTATTTTTTTGAATCATGTTTCACTTAGTCTGGAAATCTAGATTATAAATGGGTGGTAGGAATATGAAAATGTCGCCCGGTTCACGATCCACCGTCCACAAAGAAAAGATTGTGGATTTACGAATATAAATACCCGCATCTCGTCTAGGTCTTACATCACTGGAGTATTACACCTCTCATTACGTGACGACCCTATGCTTGTCTGTTTTCCTCTATCATAGAAAAACTTAACGTTTATCAAACGTCAACTATATTCATTGAACATTGACATAAATTCGTTCTATTTTTAGGCATTTTTAGTCACAGCGACTAAAAAGCGGGGAAAAAATAGCAGACGATACGGACGCCAAAATAAACTGACAGTAATTGACAGTTATGGCGCAAACTAAAATAGTTATTTTAAGCGCTTCGGTTATTATTCAATTATTAGAGGTGGCGAAAGCGCTGCGCGGTTTCGCTTTAATGTCGCGTTCAGTCACTGAATCACTGTTATAAATAACTGTGATTTTACAATAACGATTCTTTCGAAACTCAACATGAAATAGAATAGTATATTTAAATGAAATATTTTAGAACGCGAGATATATCAGTTAACTTACTTTTTATTTATTTTAACTGCGGACCGAAATCTTGGATGCTTTGCAGCACTCATGGTCACGGGGGCATTGAAGGGTCTTCTTAGGGAAACCTTCCATTACCCTCTTAATTTCAAATTCAAATCTGCTACACTACCGCCATCTGTTTCGGCGTAGTTGGTATTTGAAGAATCTAGCTGACTCACGGTGTGCGCTTGTTTATCCCAAAACGTCGGGGAAAATAAATAAAAAGTAAAGTTAAGTCGTGTATTTCGCATTAAAACGGTAAAGTGATTTAATTAAATGTGTCGTACTCGTAAACTGCAGATAATACCTGCTTTATATATTTTCGTATATTAATAATGGCTCTATTTGTAATTTACTTTGTTTTTTTTAATTTCTATTTTTGCAAATATGATGCGAGTGTATTTGTTGCACATAATGTGTTTATTACATAAGCTGTTAATATCCATTGATGAATTATTTCAATACAACAATCTTTTAGGTAACACATTTAAATATTACATATTTGATACACACTAGTATTTACGTCGTAAATATTCTTGTTTCAAAAGATCAGCATAGACTACATATCACTATGACCTAACTATGATACAGCAAGAAAAGTAATCTACAAAATATATAAAAGAATAACAGTGATTCAACCATGAATACAAGCAACCCCTATTGAGTTTTATGATTTCATTTTTGAAGCGGCATTTTCAAGCCAATTTCAGTGTTTTCTGGTCAATTTGTTTTGTGTGAACGTAATTTTTCAAATGGAAAAGTATTTCATGCGAATTGAATTATTAAACGCTTGTTAGAAGTGTATTCACGTTTAAATTAAATAAGTATAAGCAGATCGCTGTACCACGGCTTGTAAGATGTTAGAAAGTCCACCTCCTCCTCGTGCTTGAGCTAACAGCTGAAATGAGGCTTTCTTCTTCCCAATTGGTGTCTTCTCAGTAAACTCAGTTTTCTCTCCATGACGCGTTTCTGTTCTTTTGGATGATGAGATAGATACAAGTGCAAGGTCCAAACATTACCCCATACGGTTTTTATGGCCTTCAATTCCAGGACCTTTTGCGCCTTTTTACAACAGAGCCACGAGACCCTTCTTTTAGTATCTGATGAAACGATGTACGCAGCTAGTTTCTAATAGTAGTTCCAATATCAACTACGAGGAAACAGGTGGCGTGGTTTGACTTTGACATTAGGGCCACCCTCCTCCTCCTCACCTTCAGTCCCCATGGTGACCACAGCTTATAATTAGTATTATTTAAATGTGTGCTACTTTGCAGAAATAACAGACAATACTTGATAGAACATTTCAAGGGAACTGGGGTTCTTCTGGTTCTTGAAATAGATTTAATAAGTAAATGGGTGCAAAAATGTCTCTGCTAATACCTAAGACGAGTAGCATCCCACAGATTAAGCTATCAAACTTGAACCTTTCCTTGGAATACTAAATTAAACGTATCTAGGAGTTTCAATTCCACAGTTATGCTAATGTGTGTAAGATATGGAAGCGCCAAGCAGAGTTTTGGTGCATTGCCAGCGTCACCTTTCGCGAATGCCCGTATTAAATTTAACTGTATTAATATTATTTAAATGATGCGTTACCAACTTCTACCTTTAATTTTACGGTTCTACAGTACTAAGGAATAAACAAGACAATCAGACGCACTAAAACTAAAGTTTATCGAAAAATATTGCCACGCCAATCGCAAGAACTAAAGTACAAATGTAATTTCGTTGTGCAAAACGGAAAAAGTATCGAAATTGTATGAATTTCGTCCATTATGAGTTTAGCGCTTCGTCAAAATACAAACAACAAATAAACTTGACTTGCTCGTCGACTGTTACATTTTTATTTTCACCATCGATACAATACGTAACCTAAATCCTAGGTTACAAAGAAAAATAGATCTATAAAATGCTAAAATCCATTTATGTATACAACATAGAATGCATATACTTTACGTGATAAAATTGATATTATTTGGACACAAAAACGTAAAAAAAACACGACGACAAAAGAAAATGTTATCAAAATATCTCTAAAACTTCTTAAGTTACAAAGGATAGCCATTAAATCGCTATGTAAAAGTGTTAAAATTACAATAAAATAATTTATAATATCTGACACAGACAAAACGTGCATCTACGGCTATAGACATTTTTTTTCTTCAAATAATACCATAATAATTATAATACCTGTAGAGTGTGATTTCTATAGGTAAGAAACTGCATTATTAATATTACAATGTATTTTATACCCTAAAATTTGTTTTCGCTATCATTGAAGATGGTAAGTAACACTTCTGAACTCCAACAGAGAAATAATAGTCTGGTACAAAGTAGCCTGTTCCAGTGTTGCTCTAAACAAATATTTTAGAACGCAGGTTTATGAAACGTCACGAATAAATCACCATGATGGCAACACAAGATGGCTCCGCAAACATGGCGGCAAATAGCGGGTAATTTTTCAAATTAAATTTGCAATTCATGCCCACTTAAATCCGCTTATTTTAACAGTGCGTAAGACTTATTTCATCCTTTTTTGTTATAAATGTTTGACGAATATATAAAAAGTATTGTCTATGGTATACGCGAGTAGAACACTTTGAAATAAAATACTTTTAACGGTTTAAAAGCCAAATAATATTAATTAACTTATTTTAATGGAAAAAAATATGCCCATGTAACATTATACGTATATAAACAGTTATAGTTTTAACCGTTTTGTATATAAATATGTTTTTTCTTTTATGTGTGTTATGAAGCCTAAAACATCATGTATATTTTCTTAGTTCTTGCAACTGAATCCTGCTACTACCGCAATATAGAACCCCCGTATATCTTTTTGCTAAACCAGATTTTTAATTCAAATTCAAACCCTTTGTTTTACAAGACATATATAAATCATGACAAGCATACAAAAGCATGGAATGTAATATATACCTACAAATCCATACGTGCTTGTGAAATGAAAGAAAGCACTCCGCTTATACACAAGCACCTAAAAGAGTAGAGCACGGGTTTGTCCCGGGAGGTTTGAAAGTGACGATGGCTTAGACATTTATATTAACCTATAGTATTAATATTAATAGTCATTCGATAGTATTTTTTTTTTAATTTTCCGGTTTTCGAATCCAGTCCATGTTGATACAATTTATAGCTGAGCTAGGACGCCGCCTTAAAATTAAAAATAAACAATATATCAATCGGCTTGCAGAAATTCGACGATGACGTATAAATCGATAGCTTAAATGATTAGATTAGTAACTCGGAACGCTGTAGATACCGGGTCTAGTCTTGGCCATGTCGTAAATTTTCAATCTAAAATGATTTCTAATTTTAAAACAAGTGCCCAATTATAATTTACGCACTGAAATAGCTAGCTAGTTAGTACTAAAAGCTTTGAATACTTCCGAAACTGAACTAAATTTTCGAAAGCTCTCGTTAAATAATACCGAAAGCTTTATTAACCTTTTATGGGTATCGTTCGGAAAGTTATAAATTAACACGGCTCTGTTCTGAAACTTTTAATGTGGTTTTCGAACTAATTTTAACGTGAAGCAGATTGGCAACGTGTCATTGGAGTTACAAAGCGAAATTGCTGATGAACATTTTTCGACTCGCGAATTCGAACCAGCGCGAAAATTGCCGAAAAGATGGGCGAACGGTGACAAGAGAAAGATGTGATCATTCGCGGGCCAATGTGGACTGCATACTGATTAATGATTTTATACATGTATAGCTGTCAGCCAGCGACTTTGTCTACGTAGACAAATTATCGTGGACATGGAAATTTGTTTTTGCAAACTTCCTCCTCATTTTTATAAATTATTATAGCACTGACCCATGACGTCGGTCGCATTCCGTCGTTCTTGCAAGTTAATCTTAAAAGATAAAAGAAGTTTTTACATCGTTTAAAGAGGAATCATTGTTTCATCCATTTTCGCAACGTACGCAAAGGAAACCCTCAAAGATGAATAATTTTCCCCGTGTTTCCAACATTTCCCATCCGCTCGCTCCTATTAGACACCGCGTGATGCGCAATAAATGCTTTATCCTACACAACAACAACAAAAATATTTTTCAATTCGAACCAGTAGTTCTTGACATTAGCGCGTTCAAACAAACAAACTCTTGAGCTTCATATTATGGTTTTATACATTTTTTTTTGTCCCGAGACACGTCAAAGTTAGCATTAGTTAGTGCAGTGGCGAGGGTTCCGTGACCAGTTCGCAATACGATATATTGTTTGAAACGTAATAATTCTTGCTCATCGTGATCAGGCTCCGCTCGTAATCGCGAAACATTGAGAAGCATTTTCCAATTACGACAGCCGAACAACTCGAAAACCATGCTTGAAAATATAGAATAGCTTATAGATTTATAAGTATATAAAGTCAGTATTCTTATGTCATGTATAAAATTTTAACATTAGAGACGTGTTTCTGTGTTGTGACTGACTTGTGGTAGTCTTATCATAGCTTAATAAATAGAATAAAATAAAATACCCCGTAATTCCCAGTCCAAGTTAATTTCAAGTCCCCGTACCAAAGATCATGTTTGTTGTATAAAAGTCGATGTGTAACTACAGTATTGACTGTATTGATTGAAAATTGTATATTTATTCGTTTGGACATGAAACGTAAAAAACATGATGACAAAAGAAAACGTTATCGTAATATAACTCTGTAATTTCATTTACAATTGTTACAAGTTGTAAAGGATAAGTCACTGAACCGCCATGTAATTGTGAAGGTTGAAATTACATCACACAAAAGGCGCATGTGTCAATGTGAGTTAAGGAAATTCGATAACGCGAGAGACATGGTAGCTTTATTGGTTATAGGTTCAGCACGGTTCGGGACGCTGGGTCAAGCCCTGCCCGTGTCTTTTGTGCGCTGAGTAGATTTATACTTAAAGTAGATGAATTTGATACATTTTTCATGTTAATATTTAAAAGATTTTTTTTATAATCAAGAAATATAGTGGCTTAAAACCTAGCTTGCTGAATGATATCTTTATAAAAAAAAACGTATATACTTTTAGGGCTGTTCTTTCGCTAGTAATATATCAAGTTGAAAACATAAGATCACCTGATACAAGTTACAAGTTATATTGCAGTTTTCAAACTGTTTTCGCCAAAACTTGCCCAACTTTATCGACACTTTTAGTTTGTTTGACAAGCGATTTCTTTATTTATCAACGTTTATGCTACAGTTGTGATAGGATTTTCAACCAACGATTATATATGCATAAATAAAAGTATATATTTAAGTAACATTTGTTTTACATCACTAGTTCTGATCTGGACCCCTTTAATATAAATATTACCAGTGCCAGTTCTTCTCTAAATATGTTATTTTGTATCGAACGACATTATGTCATGATAAAAATATGATTTTAAATATGTGTGTATGTTATGTATGGACGGTGGTCTTGCGACTCAGGGAATTTCGATATTACTATCGTCCACTCAATATCCAGATTTCTAGTGGTAGTCGAACGTGTTTGGAGAAATTAAAATTGTTTATAAACAAGTTGGACCGGGTGGAATCGAAACCGCGTCCTGTTAATTAGAGCAACGAATCTGTCAAAAGAATAAAAATATTGTCGATGTAATAGAACTGCGAATGAATATGTGCAGTACCTTGCACCAAATTGGCTATGCACGGTTCAAGTTGACTTTGCATAAACTGTTCAGGTGGCTTGTTTGCCTTTCAGATTGAAGATTTTATCTACACGTTTAAGCTTCAATTATTTCGTTCCATTTTACGTTGTGTTAATTAAATTTAACGAGTAAGTTAACGAACTCCGCTCGTTTGGGTGCGATATGTTTGTTGTTTCGCCAAGCTTTGTAGATTAAATTACCTGTTTATAATTGGCTATACCTATTTCTTTAAAAAATAAGAGACAGACAAGAATGGAATTCACTAGATGAAATGCAAAATACCCTAGCCGTATAATAACTAAACGTTTTCGGCCGATTTTGGCTTGAGATATGTTAAAATGCACAGACGGAATTCGAAAGCCGATCAAACTTTATGGCTTTTTCGTCTGGGGTTCGTGTTCCAGACTAAATTTTCGATAACCTATTATATAATAACCATATCCGGTGGAAATTGAGTCCACGGGCCGTTTATTTATCGTCAAGTGTTTACAATTTATGATTTCATATGGATTATAAAATAATAAACTGATAATTAGTAATAGTAAACTAATGATATTTAATT